AACATATACGCGTTATAATTCAATGTAAAAACCAATCATCACAAATCGAACATCCATATTTTAAACCAAGCAACGTACACAATTCAAAACGAGCAAACATTTAAATCAAATACTCGCATCTCAAAGCATTACTTCAATCGAGCAAAAAATCTTCACAGCGAACGTGCGTTACAGACCATAGAAGGTCAAAGTTTTAGGATTCTATAGAATGTTTCACCTATGCTCAATAAGAGCTAACAATTTCAACTGCTGTATACTTTTACTTTTAGAAATAAAACTAACAATTTGAGTTTAATAATGAAATGAAATACAAAGGCAACCATATACCCACTAAACACCGTAAATTCATGCAATGCCAATACTTGGAATAGAAGTATGACCAGTTATATTTCTTTGTCTATTTTACTTGGTAAAAGGAGATAAAATCCTCTATCTTTTATATTCTACACAGACATTTAAACTTTTTCTTCAAACGTTGTAAATACAAGTATGTGAGAGATTGATTGAAAGAAGACATCCTATTTTATAATTTCGAAGAAGCAGTTTGTTTTAGACCAGAGTTTGCAGTGACCTTGATCATCAATTATAGTAATGACCGTTTGAAACGCGCTAATAATTATTGCATTATTCAATTCCCGAATAATAGAAGGAACTTTATACAATTCCATACGTCATGTGTTTACGTGCAAGGAGATAAAATTGATATACATATGAGATGAACACTTTAGATGTAAAGACAGATCTTTTCCATTTAAAACCTATTACTTAAACTAGTTAAGCTTTACTACGAGTTGTGTAACATGATTGATTTTTCCAAATAGATATTCACAATGATACAACAGTAACAAGATCATTTGACTTAATAGCAAAAAATTAATACAACAGAAACTACATCCTTAGAAAAGATGATTAGTTATAAACATTGTTGAGAAAAAGACCTATTTGAATTGGGCGAAGAAAAAAAATTCCCCTAAAAGCATTCATGACGAACGGTATAAGTTGACCCAATGCCAATACTTAGCATTTAATGACCTTTAATTTATTTTAGACAGGAAGTTACAAGGACTTATCACATTGTAAACAAAGTCATATTGTATGGCGGTTATTATAATGCACGCAAAGATTCATTAACTTGCTAGACAGCATGTGTAAACGATTCAAACCTCTAATCAAAGCAAGAGAAAAATCCATGACTGGTTATTAAATGTATGATTATTTCTTGCTGTTGCATTCAATGCTTTAAAATTTTCCATTATTATTACCCAATTAAAATATTTTCATAACAACAATTGTTCTTTTAGACTGCCTGTGTATATATTAACGCCACGGTGTAATGCAGATGAACTTAAGTCTTAATCACAGAATAGACATCTAACAGAAGGCCCACTCGGCTAAAATCGTGGCGTCTTTTTTCACTACGAATGCGTGACTTCCAAGCAAGATACTTTCACAAAATCAATATGGAATAGTATTGCACGAGAATACTATTTTACTAATAATTCACGTTTAAAGCATCAGTTTGCTAAAATTGTTATAAAATGTTATCGTTTTGCGATGACGATAAGGTTCCAAGCTTTTGTTGTGGAAAACGATATATTTGCAAAAACATCTATATTTTCTACTGTGATCTAGCGGAATTATCTTGCTGGAAGGCGTGTCTCCTTAGAACTTGCTTCAGAAAAGTAGGGAACACTAACATCAAAAATTTCGATACGATTGGACCTTCTGTTAAGATATGTCTTCTGTGTCTTAAGTTAAATATAATCTCGTGTATATAAATTGAATGAGTGATCTTTCGAATTTACGTGTTATTGTTGATTATTAGCAACTGTTTGTCATGGGATAATAACATGAAAAGTTTTATGCCAAGTCTGTAATAATATGCAGAAGGAATGCAAATGCTCTATCTTATTTCGGCTTTGACATATCAAATTAAAAGACACTTTATACGAATCTCATCATAAACTAATAAAGAATGATATGGGTTAGGGTAACTACATGAAATTTTAAACACGAAATTGGAAATGGATCATTAGAAGAGTTAGTTGAACAACGTATAAATTATAATATTTTTCTACATATAGAATTATTTCATAACGAACCAGTGATCTGTGAACATTTGTAAGAAGATGCAGTTGATTTGATCAAGACTTTTGTAAAATATAATTTTTTCATCCAAAATCTCAACATAACATCACACGTAGCTCCTATCACCAGTGCTTATCACTATAAACAATCATGGTTTTTGTATTTAATCAAGGCATTCGACGCAAGATATTTCCATTACAGAATAAACAATAACAAGACTCCCATGAGTTCCATCACGTGTTCACTCGTGCTACTCGTGAACAGTGTTTGGTTATATTTGCATTTTATAATAGCTGCCATGGAATTCACAGCAATTCAATTTCTAATGTGGCAGTATATATTATGCAAGTAAGTCATGTCTCATTTCATTATACGTGTCATTAGTAACACCCATGCGTGGAAAGACCCCAAAAAGATTTTGATTAATTCAATGACTTCGTGTCAGCCAAGGGGTGGTTTAATCTCGCGACTTTAAGAAAATTAGAATTGTAAACTTGTGCTTACCCTCGTTATATAGAACAACAACTACAATAAATGATGTGCTGAATAAGAGTTAACAATTTCAACTGCTGTAGACTTTTACTTTTAAAAATAAATGTAACAATTTGAAATCAATTACACCGGAAACCATATAACGACTAAACTCCGTAAATTGATGCAGTGCCAATACTTGGAATAGAAGTATGACCTGTTATATTTCTTTGTCTATTTTACTTGGTAAAAGGAGATAAAATCTTCTATCTTTTATATTCTACATATATATTTAAAATTTGTGTACAAACGTTGAAAAAATATAAGTATGTGAGAGATTGATTGAAAGAAGACATCCTATTTCATAATTTCGAACAAGCAGTTTGTTTTAGACCAGAGTTTGCAATGACTTTGATCATTAAATATAGTAATGACCGTTTGCAACGCGCTGATAATTATTGCATTATTCAATTCCCGAATAATAGAAGGAATTATATACAATTCAATATGTCATGTGTTTACGTGCAAGGAGATAAATGTGATAAAAATATGAGATGAAGACTTTAGATGTAAAGAGAAATCTTTTCCGTTTAAAACTTATTACTTAAACCAGTTAAACATCACTACGAGTTGTGTAACATGATTGATTCTTCCAAATAGATATTCACGATGATACAACAGTAACAAGATCATTTGACTTAATAGCAAAAAATTAGTACAACAGAATCTACATCCTTAGAAAAGATGATTAGTTATAAACAATGTTCAGAAAATCGTTACATAAATCGTTTTTAAGGAGTAAAAGACCTATTTGAATTGGGCGAAAGAACGAAATTCCCCTAAAAGCATTCATGATGAACGGTATAAGTTGACTCAATGCCAATACATAGCATTCAATGACCTTTAATTTTAATTTTAGACAGGAGGTTAAAAGGACTTATCACGTTTTGAACAAAGTCATATTGTATAGTGGTTATTTTTATCCACGCAAAGATTCATTAACTTGTTAGACAGCATGTGTATTCAATGCTTTGGCACTTTGTTCTAATATTGCCAATTAAAATATTTTCATAACAACAAGTTTTTGTCCTTGAATGCCTGTGCATATTTTACCGCCACGGTGTAATGGAGATGAACTTAAGTCTTAAGCACGGAATGGACATCTAACAGAATGCCCACTCGGCTAAAATCGTCGCGTCTTTTTCACTACGAATGCGTGACTTCCAAGCAAGATACTTTCACAAAATCAATATGGAATAGTATTAAACGAGAATGCTATTTTACTAACAATTCATGTATAAAGCAACAGTTTACAAAATTTTTACAAAATGTTATCATTTTGCGATGACGACGAGTTAGAAGCTTTTGTAGTGCAAAACGATATATTTGTAAAAACAACTATATTTTCTATTGCGATCTAGCGGAAGTATCTTGCTGGAAGGCCTGTCTGCTAAGAATTTGCTTCAGCATAGTGGGGACACGAACATCAAAGATTCCGACACGAGTGGACCTTCTGTTAAGATATCTCTTCGGTTTCTTAACTTAAATATAATCTTGTGTATATAAATTGAATGGCTGATCGTTCGAATTTACGTATAATTGTTCATTATTAGCAACTGTTTGTCATTTGATAAAGACATGAAAAGTTTTATGTCAAGTCAATAATAATAAGCAGAAGGAATGCAAATGCTGTATCTTATCTTGGCTTTGACATATCAAATTAAAAGGCATTTTATAATGTTACGAAAAAGTTAGCTACATCTCTAAATTAAGAGAAACGATTAAAAACAGGGATAGATTAAACGCGTTGTCCTTTTGATACGATTCATCATCATAAACTAATAAAGAATGATATGGGTTAGGGTAACTACATGAAATTTTAAACATGAAATTGGAAATGGATCATTAAAAGAGTTAGTTAAACAACGTATAAATTTTAATATTTTTCTAAATGTAGAATTATTTCATAACGACCTGTGATCTGTGCACATTTGTAAGAAGAGACAGTTGATTTGATCAAGACTTTGGTAAAATATATTTTTTTTAACCAAAATCTCAACACAACATCACACGTAGCTACTCTCACCAGTGCTTATCACTATAAACATTCATGGTTTTTGCATTTAACCAAGGCATTCGACACAAGACATTTTCATTACAGAATAAACAATAACAAGACTCCCATGAGTTCCATCACGTATTCACTCGTGCTACTCGTGAATAGTGTTTGGTTATATTTGCATTTTATAATAGCTGCCATGGAACTCACAGCAATTCAATTTCTAATGTGGCAGTATATATTATGCAAGTAAGTCATGTCTCATTTCATTATACGTGTCATTAGTAACACCCATGCGTGGAATGACCCAAAAAAATTTTGATTAATTCCATGACTTCGTGTCAGTCATGGGGAAGTGTATTTTCGCGACAGATGAAGAAAATCAGAATTTTAAACTTGGGCTTGCCCTCGCTAAATAGAGCAACAACTGCAATAAAAGATGTGTTGAATAAGAGTTAACAATTTCAAGTTTGAAATCAATTACACCTGTAACAGTTTGAAATCAATTACACCGGAAACCATATAACGACTCAACTCCGTGAATTGATGCAGTGCCAATACTTGGAATAGAAGTATGACCTGTTATATTTCTTTGTCTATTTTACTTGGTAAAAGGAGATAAAATCTTCTATCTCTTATATTCTACATATATATTTAAAATTTGTGTACAAATGTTGAAATATAAGTATGTGAGAGATTGATTGAAAGAAGACATCCTATTTCATAATTTCGAACAAGCAGTTTGTTTTAGACCAGAGTTTGCAATGATTTTGATCATTAAATATAGTAATGACCGTTTCAAGCGCGCTAATAATTATTGCATTATTCAATTCCAGAATAATAGAAAGAATTATAAACAATACAATATGTGATGTGTTTACGTGCAAGGAGATATATGTGATAAAAATATGAGATGAAGACTTTAGATGTAAAGAGAGATCTTTTCCGTTTAAAACTTATTACTTAAACCAGTTAAACATCACTACGAGTTGTGTAACATGATTGATTCTTCCAAATAGATATTCACGATGATGCAACAGTAACAAGATCATTTGACTTAATAGCAAAAAATTAGTACAACAGAATCTATATCGTTAGAAAAGATGATTAGTTATAAACAATGTTCAGAAAATCGTTACATAAATCGTTTTTAAGGAGTAAAAGACCTATTTGAATTGGGCGAAGGAACAAAATTCCCCTAAAAGCATTCATGATGAACGGTATAAGTTGACTCAATGCCAATACTTAGCATTCAATGACCTTTAATTTTAATTTTAGACAAGAGGTTAAAAGGACTTATCACGTTTTGAACAAAGTCATATTGTATAGTGGTTATTTTTATCCACGCAAAGATTCATTAACTTGTTAGACAGCATGTGTATTCAATGCTTTGGCACTTTGTTCTAATATTGTCTTTGAATGCCTGTGCATATTTTACCGCCACGGTGTAATGGAGATGAACTTAAGTCTTAAGTTAAATATAATCTTATGTAGTTAAAATGAATGGGTGCTTTTTCGAATTTAGGTGTTATTGTTCATTATTAGTAACTATTTGTCATGGGAGAAAGACATAAATGTTTTATGCGAATCAATAATAACAGAAAGAATGCAAATGTCGCATCACAGTTCGGCTTTGACATATTAAATCAAAAGATGCTTTTTAATTTTGCCTTATCTTTGCATTGCAAAAGCTTTTTCAAGGGCGTTTCCAGCTGTTTCATAGCCTACATTTGCATTTTCCCCGTCAATAAATAACAGCCATTGAAGGTGAAGTTTAGTTGACAAGGTGTTAAAGCAGGAAGACAGATCTATGATAAACAGTCACAAAACAGACTTTTGAAGGTAAACATCATAAAATCTTCTATTTGAAGTGAGCACTAAATATAATGCTTCAAAAGAACGTGAATTGAATTGTGTTTGGGGATGTCAATATATTATCTACGAATCAAGCAGTAAATTTAATTTATCTTAAAATGAGTTTTCTATATTTCAGCCTTATTTCAGATGGAGAACTTTTCATGCAGCTATTTAAATTGTTGAATTAGTAATTCATCGTGCTTATTTAAGTCCAGCAAACTCAATTTGGAGTGGTAGTTGACTAAAATATGGGAGAGACCCTCAGCCCTTCACTTTTTAAAACAAAGCAACTATATACATTGATTGATGTGCTGTGCCACTCATGTGCATTGGCCATGGGCAGTTTCGAACCTTAATAAAACGGCTCCTATATGTTATAAATTTATTTCAATTTATTTTAATTATCAATCCTGTTATATTTGTTGTTTTGAAGAAATTAAGCATTAATTCAACGCAAATGATATACTTCTGAGTTCGCTTCTTGAATCACTGCCGATTATATGTCACTCGTGCGTTGCACGAAACCAGTAATTAGTTTTAATGGTTGAAATGTTCGCGGAGTGAAACTTTAATATTAAACATAAATTTATGCACATAAGCATATCAAAGAATTAAAACGGATTGTTTATTCAAACAATTGCAGTTAAATATTTACAAAGCTACTAAATTGAAGCATTTTTAGCAATTTATAAAGATTTTGTGTAAACTACTAGCTATCCAAATTGCTTGAGTAGCTAGCTAAGTGCCAGGTAAATGATAAAGCAAAAAGAATTAATGCCTTTGTTCAACGAAATTATTTTTCTCGTATTGAACGCAAGGAGTTTAGAGGCACAAATATAATTATTCACTTTTGAACATTATATAAAGCAAACAAAAACATACGCTCAAGGAGAAATATGTCGTTAATAATAAGTTGCTACTCAGCAGTTCCCTACATATATACAGCTTTATGTTATTTTGATATACTTCAATTTTAAATACCCTGCCGTAAATTTTAGCATTATGAGTTAATACTAAAAGTCTTGTTGAGACTAATAACATTGGTGGAAAATGAAACTGCCATTTGATCATGCACAATTTTACAAAATATAAATCAAACTTTTCCTCAGAGAGAACACATACTGAACCTTTCCTCCAGTGAATGACCAAGTAAGAAACAGAGCTGCTAGAGAATATTAATTGCAAAATGGTTTCAACGGTGATTCTAGCAACAATATTTGTGCTGATGATGAATATCATTGTTTACGTGAGCACAGTAAGTATTAGTTAAGTATTTTATGCTAGCAAATTGTGTATAAGATAATATTTTGTAAAGACCTCAGTGTTTGTTTTGTGGTTCGACTGCTTGAAAGAAAGCAGATTTATATTTTATAGATTAAGAAAATTTTAAGAGAGTAAATTTTGGAAAAAATATTACAGTGATGTTATAGAGTATTTGATTTCCAAAGCCACGACTCACCGCAAAAAAATTATGCATACATATTAACAGGAATCAAGTCTGTACATCACAGCCGACAGATGCTTGGCAAGTCAAAACAGAATGTATAGAGTTACGCTTCAAATATGCGAAAAAGGATTCTGGAAGACGGCAGCTAAAATACATGAACGCTCACCGAAAGGTAATCAAAATACATTTCCATAAACAATGCTCCTACGTGTCAAAACATTTAACTTCCTTTTGTTTTACTTGATGCCCTTGTGTTTCTCAATTATCACCAGTTCAATGAAGTAAATGTACCAAATTACATGAAGTATACGGGGACAAAAACATAAAATAAATCATTGAGTTCTGTAAGACCAGGAGGGTCATCCAAATTACTGTAAATTATTAGCGCGCGGTCTGGGTCAAAAACATGGCGGATTTTGATTGTCAAAGTCAGCAGAAAGACACGGGCTCACGAAATAAAAATTTTGTCGCCCTCCCGGATTTGACCACCACGATTGCGAGTATAGAAAATATCAAAACTATTTATTTTCCTAACACTTCTTTAAAATTTCGTTTATTATACAATCTGCAAACCTTCCGTGGTATGCAGATGCCGAAATAGTTACAGAAAAGGAAACATTTCGTGACTCCGGTAAGTAAAGCATGGTATTGTTTATCATTTAAAGTGTTCAGTAGTTTCACTATTTTGTCTGCGATTTAGCCTAAGATCTATATTTGAGCTTGTATGAGTTATATAATCAACTATATTGCATTTCATTGCGGACAAAAATACAATGATAGAAATGTCAGATTTATGTATTGAAAATATATCAAATGTGTATGGAAAACATGATATTTATATAGTAAAAATCTTGCAACATTACCTGTTATTAAAAATTCACAAATTGATAGTTGAAACCATATAAATCGATCATTGAAAATTTCAAGCAAATGTCCAATTGAATATTCAAAATTGTAAATCGAAAAGAAACGGTGGTGTTGACAAACTCAACAGAAAATGTGACAAAACAAATTCGCATCATTGCCGGCGACGAAGGCGTTACATAAGTGCGAGGCAATAATTCCGTGTTCTACATTAAAATGCATACAATCCAATCTAACCATAACCAATAAGACGGCTATACTTAAGTGCTTTAAAATAAGGGTAAGAGGATAGGAATAACTTTTGCGTGATGCATATTTAATATATATTCAATATATATACTGACATTTCTATTACAGCACATGCTGGTCATTAAATAAATAGCGTAAATTATTAGAATGATAATAATGTCGATAAGAGGTTACCAATGTTAAATACGGCCGTCAACTTAAGCCTGCAGCACATGAGATCTATCAGCTGAGCTAAAGGTTACTCGTGCCCGACAAAAATCAGCATTTCCGATCTTTTATTTGAATTTTTCGTCACTGACACTCAAGTTAAATACATCATTAATGGTAAAAATCGATTGGACGAAAATATGTACGTTGGAGTACAGGGAAGAGTTAAACAGTTTGAAATAAACACTTTGTCGGCATGATAAACCTGATAGTACGTTTCAATAAATATTTAGAACATAATTGCACCTCCATCTGACTAAACTTCAATGGGAACAAAAAAAATAATTAACCATTATTTTGTTCGTGCTCAATATTTAGTTATGCCTAATGAATTTTAACAACATGTTCTTAAATTTCATCAATTAATCTAATCTTATTGAAGACCCGTATTCTCTTAGGGGCTGTTCATATGAGCCCGGCTAACCGGGATTCAGTGAGGCGTTAGATGATTTTGGCAAATGGAAACGATTCTATACTTATCATTAGATAAATCTTCTCGAGCAATTTCACAATATACTTATTTAATGACAGCGCAAAACATTTAAAATTGAAACAACCAGTTTGGCCTGATTTGAGAATTTCAACAGAAATGACTTGTGGCGCTTAGCAAACAGTTGTAATTTTTACGCTTAAAGTTTTTCCCCCTTTCAATGCATCAAAATCATTTGATGCATCACTAAATCCCGATTAGCCGGGCTCATATGAACAGCCCCTTAGTAAAGGACAAATTCTGGTACATGACTATTGCACTCCCTCATTTAAAATGTTAAGCTTGGTAGCTGCATCCATGATTTTACATTTTGTTAATCCTGTAAAAACTTGTAGACTGAACGTAATAATAAAATATTGTTTGATGCTGGTGTCACACAGCTTTTGAGCATCACGATTTATATATTTTGACATATTTTTTAATGAAAATTTTTTGCTCTCTAATTTAAAGCTGAAGGATGTCAATCAATATCGCTAATTTGCTGACATAAGGTCAAAATACTGACTAATTTAGAGTATAATTTTCAGGTGAAAGTTGCCTCGATATTTTAAAAAAAGGTTTGAGCCGTGGAAGTGGAGAATATTTGATTGCTCCAAAAGGACAGAGCGCATTTAAAGTGTACTGTGATATGACGTCATTCGGAGGTGGCTGGACTATGTGTTATAAAACTGATAATTTTGTCAATTTAAAGAATGAATTGCATACCACTCCAAGTCTTGGTTACCGGGCTGATTGCAATCATATACCAGTAAGTTTATAACATAAAAGTCAATGACAATAAAACCACATCAATTTTTAATTAGATGAAATAATTTCTATAGTTTAACAGTGTGATGTTTGTCGATGAAAAATCAAAAGCAAAAGCAGCATTTACCAGAGATGTATCAACGAAGATAACAATTAACGACAATTATGATAAAAGAGCAAATGCGTTTGGACATTGGACTGCAAAAGGTGTCGCTTCATCGTCATACAAGTATCAGCTACTGATTTGCAATACTTCATTTTACAAAGGTCTAATGGTCTCTGGTTACACAGGCTCGTGTTATAAGAAGTGCGACCATTGGTGTGGTGACACCATATCGCCATATTTCCGTTCTGCAAGCTCATCAACACTTTTCACCGGAGTAGCATTCGATGAAAATGGCCATAAACCACTTGCAAAACGCTTGATCAGTGTCGCAATTCGTTGAAACTGTATGACAATTTACGTATTAGTACATATAATTCATCACAATTTAGTTATAATTTTGATTGTTTTAGCTTTCTTACAGTCTTAGTAAAGAAATAAAGGGATTTTTTCAATGCAAAACCTGCCACGGAAATTTTATCACATTGCCATTTAGGGTGATAGGCGCATCTTTATGATGCTATTCAGAGGAAGCACGTCTCCTTATTTTGCTAGTATCAAAAAACATATGATAAAATATGTTGAAAGTCGAAATTTCGGGGATGATTTTAATTTTGAAATGTCATTTTAGAAAAAAGAAATTATCCATCGAGTATGCATTTTTATGTTGTTTCAACTTTTTGCGGTTGGCATATCAGTTTGTATAATAATACAAACATGCATGAATCGTTTGAACATGTAAAATTCAAATCCTTTTGTGTTTTGACTTACTTTAAGCCTCTCGTTCGCTTGCACATGCTTCACAAAAACAATCAAACCTCATCAATTCTTTGGAGAATTTTGAAAATAGGTATTTGTTTTAAGATATTACTTCAATCACTGAATTAACTACCTTACTAGGACGTACAATCTCATCCAAATTACTATATTTTATTAGGAATTGATGAGGTTTGATTGCGCCGGTTATCAAAAACATGAATGCTGTCATACCATATATAGCAAATTTAGGATTAAAGTGTTAGCGGAAAGGTGTGGGCTGGCAAAATTAAAATTTTTGTACTCCCCCCCAGATTTTCATCCACCACTTTATCCGATTATAAAAATATAGAAGTGACTACCTTCTGACCTACCTTTTACAAACATTTTAGGACCATAAATATACGCAGATGCCCCACAATGGTTTGTTGCCATCACAGCTTCCTGTTGCCAAGCATTCCTCTTGCAGTCAAACGATTCAACAGAGTTTAACCAAATATCACTATCATGTCCTCCACACACTAGTAGCCGTACTTTTCCGTTAAGGAAGTTGAATGTTTCTGTCATTTCTTTCGCCCAAGATTGTATATCATCCTGGTCACATGCCAAATGTTTAAACTTTTACCAAGTTGGTCAGTGACATGGCTCATCATTTCATTTTGACTCTTTTTCATTTGCTCTACAACATGCTTCAAATTGATGCAAAGACATACCTCTTTACATAATACTCACTTCGTTGGACTTGTCTCAGAACATGCGAGAGCAGTTTTTTAAAATGATAGCCACATCATCATGACTTAGCTGTATTTTTTCAACCTCTGCATTTTCAACCATTGCTATTGTTACTTCTTGCTGGTGAACGAGTTCAGCTTGTTTTGATTGTATCTATTCTCAATCTTTCATATCTTGTTGTACTTGATCGTTAGGCCTGATCAACAATCTCACGAAATAGATCCAATCTTGTTAAATTTCTTTGATCATTACAATCAGCCATATTTCTATCAAGCAGATCAATCATGAATACATAATAGACAATGTTAGGAAAAAAATCGACACATTTTTTTTCAATCTATCTGTTTCGCATTATTGTTATTCTATAAAAGAAAAAATTACATTTTTGCTGTTTGCCACATGTTTATGCAAACCTCTGAGACATTTGGGACAGAACCGGATCCTGCTTTCTTCGTTTTACATTCAAAGTACCTTCAGAAGAAAACTTTTGGTTTGGATTTCTAAATAATGAAATTTTACCAATCAATTGTCTCTAACGTATTGGAAACGTAAATAAATAAAAAAAAGTGGTAGTCTCGTCGCAGTTGTTTGTTTTGATCGCCACTAGGTCTACCACACTAGATCCGCCATTGGTTTGGCAGACATCTTGATCGGATGCATTGATCTGCACTTGAGTTGTCCCAAACGTCTCCTCGGTTTTTATACGCATGCGCAATTGCAATGAACATCTTCTAGTTCTTTAATAACCAAGCACGTGTAGAATTGTTCATTTTTGAAAGCTTTTGACGGTCTATATAATCATATATAAATTTAAGTCGTATAATTTACATATCTCGAAGAATATGCAACTTTTGTAAAACCAAGATCACAGGCAATCGAAGATACTACAAATTATGTAGATATATCGCACTTTAATCATGACAAGTTGCGTTGGCGAATATTTCCAATAAAGCGTGAGTAAAAAAACTAATCACTAAGAAAAATATTCCGCAAACTAAAAAGCACAAACACAGAAAAAGTAGTAATTTACATTAGCTATATTTAAGACTCGGTAAGAGTATATATGTCTAGGTCTACTAAAATCAAATTTTTACGAGTGTATAAGATATATTGTTATTCACTATGTAAAAAATGTCAGTTTTGATTAGTCAACGACCTACAAATAATTCCTGATATCTGTAATTATGACGTCATATCTACAAATAAGAGTTTCTACAATGATTGATGCCATCAAAATAGCCCGTTTTGAAAAAAAGGTTTGCCACAGTTTCAAAAACAAAAAGCATAACCTTTTGAACAAAAGGGATGAGGAAAACACTAAAAAATAGGTACGCATGCTCGTACATGCGTCTACGTTATGTATGACGTTTTAATATTAACCAATTTCTGAATAACGCTGAATAGAATATCGAGAATTATTAAGGCCACGACTTGTGCTATCCACAAAAGTTGATGGATCACTGATGATATATTCTTGTTTACTGTCTTGAAGTAGCATGCCATCAGTAACACCTAAAGCTGCAGATATCTCTACTTGATCTTCGCTCTATTTATAATCATCAGTACTTTTGTTTCTTTAAATGGTGTTTGGTTTGGCATTCATTTTTTCTGACGCAGTTTAGCCGTTGCATAATTATATTCTTGAACAGCTATTGTCTAAATCACCTATCTAAATCATCAAAACATTACGCAGGAGTAGCATTCGATGAAAATAGTCATAAACCAGTTGCAAAATGTTTGATCAGTGTCGCAATTCGTTGAAACTGTATGACCAGTAACATATTATTACATACAATTCATCACCATTTTTCATCATCATTCAGTTTTCTTACAGTATTAGTAAAGAAATAAAGGAGATTTTTCAATGCAAAACCTGCCAAGGAAATTTTATCACATTGCCATTCAGGGTGACAGGCGGATTTTATGATGGTATTCAGAGGAAGCACGTCTCCCTATTTTGCTAATGTCAAAAAAAACATTTGGTAAAATATGTTGTTACATATCTAACAAATGAAAATGATACTAAAAATTGAAATTTTGGAAATTATTTTCAATTTAAAATGTCATTTTAGAAAAAAGAAATTATCCATTGACAATGCCTTTTTATGTTGTTTCAACTTTTTGTGGTTGGCACGTCGGTTTGTATAATGATACAAAAATGAATCATTTGCACTTGTAAAATTCAAATCCTTCTATATTTCGACTTACTCTAAATCTCTTGTTTTCATGAACATGCTTCATCAAAATATCAAACCACATCAATTCTTTGGAGCATTTTGAAAATAGCTATTTGTTTTCAGATATTCCTTGAATCTCGAAATTAACTAACAACTCATTAATTACAACGCTATCAATTAGTCATTTCAGTATAAAATATATTTCATATAATTTTGTGAAGATAAAGTGGCACGTGACGTGCTTTCTGCATTCCTTCAAACAACACAAAGGCGAAAACCATCTCATGTGGCAGTTACAATATATGTGCAATAATATTGCAGAAAATTATTGATTACGTTGTCTACCTGCAAAAATTGAGCCTGTGTTAGTGTTGGGTATGTATTTGACTGTGGGGTCATACTTCATATTAGTTATCGTACAATGACAGCCACATGAATAAGCCAATATGACGCAAAATCTTCATAACGAAAGATCTACATAGCTAATAAGGTGACGTGTCACTGTAATGACAATATCACTGCATGTGATGAAATGGTCGCAGTGCGTATTGACGTATATATTGACCGCTATAATGAAAAATTAAAACGACGTAACGGAACACTATCACACAAGATAATTATAGCATTCGATATTTTATGGTTTCCTTTTTTTCAAAATCGAACTTTGCATTTGAATGTCAAGAGCAGAGTGGCAGGGTGTGTCAAAAAAATTGGTCGTCTTTGAATTCAGCTGACATTTAGAATTTACTTCATTCAGCAGCAATGATACCGAAGGAGGCGTAAATGCAAGTGAGACAAAAATACAATTTTAACAGATTTTCAAATTTTTTTTATACTTATACATGTGAGCCAATAAATTTGTCGTGACTGTCAAAACAAGTTATTTTAGTTGCTTTATGATAGCAATTCAAATAACACTTACTAAATGTAGATTTGCCAACAGCAGAAAATGACAGATTACACACTTCTACATTTTCGGAAACATCAATGACGTCATTGAAAAACGGCTTTCTAACAAATGATGACGACACAACTACATTTTCTAAAAAAATGAAAAAATGCTTTCAATAAAAAGGCGTTTTATGGCAAGAAAGTCCATTTACACAACTGCTTGAGTGCTTTACAGTTATCTCTGCAGTTAAATACAAATACCAAAGGTGGGAAATAATTCAGAAAAAATGAGCGAAAAAAATAGAAACTTTCAGTAAATTTAATAATCTTTGTTAACAATCAACAAAACTTTATAACAATGCGATTGTTTTGTCTCCGAAAATGATCCCTGTCAGCGTGGTTAATGAGAAGTTGAGAGTTAGTTCTTGCAGCATTGCTTAACCATGCAAGAAATAAAAACGTATAAAGGGCAGAGAAATGTTACATAAATGATACACATCATGTTATTAATGTCATGATTATAATATTTTATTCATTATTCATGAAACAAAAACATAGAAATTTAGAAATTCCTTGACTTTCTTTTATATAAAAAAGACTGTAAGAGTTTAAATGGGTTTAATAAATACACATTTGAACAAATCGATCTAAGGCAAATTATTTATTGATTTTAGTTGGATAACATACATTTAATAATTTAGTCACCTCATTGTTTTGAATGATTAATATAACAAACGAGTTCTCCATTGTGAAGAAGTTATTGAAAAGATCTTATCTTACTTTGAGTATACTACCACGAATGTAATGATTATTGAATGAGTAATTACAATCTATTTTAATATAAAATGTTGGTGCAGTCTTGATTGTGATTGGCTAAGAGCCTACACATAATTCTTGATGCTTTGCCACCCATTTAACATTGAAAATTATCTGTAGCTGACGTAATTTTAATTGTGACAACTGTAAACACAAAAGGTATATTACCAAAAACTTATCGAGATTTGCAAAACGTTTCACCAACTCTTTTCGTTTTAAAGACGTAAAAAACACCGAAAGGGTTACACTGTCAGTCAGGAGAGTTTTCGCCGAGTATTTACTGAGAAAAGACGAAAGCGAACAGCAAAAATTATCTAATGTCGAAGCCCTGAAAACTTTATGGCTTTAGTTCAAAATAGTATGAAAGCTTTGACATTATTAATTGCATAATGAAACAATTATTGAATTCAGGTTTCGCATGATATCAAGAATAATTTAGACCTCGGTCGACTTTATCCACCTCAGCTTCGCTTTGGTAATTAACATTGACCTTGGTCTGAACAGTTCTTGATATTATGCTCAACCTCATCCAATAATTTTTAATAGTTAAATGCTTAACTTTCCATGTAAAAAGTCATGATTACACGTCAAAATGTGGGTAACAGTGATGCAGTTGGCAGAAATCGTTTGGTTGTCATCGGAGGTAATTCTTTCCAAGCTTTTTCTCTCAGATCAAGATATTCAAATGAATCAAGATACTCTTCCTTATTCATTCCACCAACTACAACAATAATCTTTCCGTTGATAACAGCTGAGCACCCATATCTTTTATGATTAAGGGGTGAAAGCCTTTCACATTCTTCTGTTTTAAATTATATGTCAAGACATTATCTAATATTTCACCTTGATCACTAATACTTCGAATCAAAGATAGCCTCATCTTTGTACTCTATTAATGCCATGTTGCACACTGAATATGGTAATTGCTTAAGGTTTTTCCAATTCTCATCATACAGGCTGAGAGAAAAACAGTGATTTTCACATTCTCCTCTACATTCGATGTTCTCCCATCAGAAAAAAACCTTGTCATCCATAACATGCCTTCAATTATTTGTTTGTGACGTACAGATAGTGGAACACGTCTGCTTCCGGCAATATAACATTATTTATAATTTATAAACCTTAGATGATTCGAATACTTTGATGGTCGTTTTCATTTTTTTAAATAAATATATACATTTTTTCCATAAAAGAAAACGAACATTGTAAGAAAAAGAAGTATGGTTTTGATTCATCTATCAGTTTGACATAATGCCTGTGTCATTAACCTTTTACAGTGATGTTATTTTTCTCGTAAAATGAGATAGCAAACAGTAAGCTAGTCAACAACTAAAATAGAATAAAGAATATATTTAAATTGATATAGAAGAGCTCAATAGAACTTATCTGAGAAACAGGAGACAATGACAAATTTACATGACTGCATTCTAATTAATTTTGCTGACTTCTTATCTTACCAGAATGCATACTGAATGAATTTGTCAGCTTCCTTTTATACTAAATAACAATCTTCAGACCATGCTTAACTATCATGCAAAATATCATGCAAACCTACAACAACGATATATATTAACAAGTTTGAGATCATTCTTTTACGCAGTTCGTAAATATGAACTTCCTAAACCTCAATATCGGGAGGTAGTTTCTTTTGTCATATGAGCTATACATGCTCATAGTCATGCACATAACAGCGAGTATAACTTGCAGCTGCAAGCCTTGTGGTTAACTATTATGCAAATATTTATGATATGCTGAAGGTAGGTAGGTTTCCAGTAAAGTATTGGAAGGTTTTCTACATGACAAAGTTTATATACAAAGCAATTTACACTGATATTCATACGTTCCTTTAGAAATCTAAAAGCCAGGAAGATTTTTCAGATAGTCTAGTTAACTTACATTAGCACACCTTGCAGTCCTTGAAAGATTTCAAGATACCTCTTCAAATATTTTTAGCAGTCTTCAAAGTAAACTCGGGAAATGAAACAGCGCTAATGAATTTCACATTTTATAGAAAAATACTTAACAAATTTGTCATTTGCAGACGCTGAACGTTATATGTTAAATTTTAATACATTATGATAGTTTTTATCACAGAATGTCATATTGTAATTTGGCATCAAAGAGTTACTTTTGGAATGCTAATAAACCGTTATTCTCATCATCATCCTAATATCGTATCAATCAACAAACGATAATTTTAGGACTTCCAAGTCTTTGACGATACGGACATGTGTTCTAAAAGAACTGCCATCTTTTGTGGTTCAAACAATCCTTAAGAGTTGAGGAAAAATAGCTGTATAATTACTCACCTGCTATGTTTGTTGATGAAAGACCAGAATTCAACGTGAGATTAAACTTATGCTTTTTCATTATGCAGAAGGCCATTTTGTCGAAATGAAACTATGCAAACTTTCACATGAATCCCTTTTATTTACTCCAGCAAAATTACTAATACAATATTTAATATGACTGTTATTATACAATACATGATCAATACTTTATTACAACATGTATAACTTGTGCAATATTATCCGAAAACTATATAAAGTCATAAAGCAATCTCGTGTGCTATCTTGTACAAGAATTATAACTAATGCACTGTTTGCAATATTTCTTTAAGTTCAAAATACTGTTGAAACCATGCGCAGAGTAAGTATAGCAATAAATATGTTTCCTCCTAAAACAGTTTTTGATTGCGTAAATAAAGGGCATTGTTTTGTAAATACGAATGTCTGAAAATACGAAATGTTAAATACTGCAGTACATGATAAAACTTCTTCTTTATCTTCATTCCTTACTGTAGTATAGTTATTATGCACATTATTAACATGACTAAGTAACATGACTAAGTAACATGATTAAGCAGTAAAAGGGAGAAATCTTACAATATTACATCTGGCGACAAAGATTACGAAGGGACGAAGAAATATGACTTGATCCTGAGAAAGATACTACATTTCGAACATGACAGCTTTGCCTAGCTTCCCGACGTTCAACCTAGAAGAACCAGACCATAGAAAAGCTTGGGGAAAATACGTATCAAGATTTGAGAATTTGTTGTTGGCAATGAACATCACAAATGCCGCAAGAAAGAAGGCGATGCTCCTGCACTATGTCGGTGAAGAAGTTAATGAGATATTCGAAACTTTAGAAACTGACGAGACAGATAGAGAAGAAGATATATTTAGAAAAGCGGAGAAAGCGTTACGAAATTACTTCACTCCACAGAAGAATATAAAATTCGAAGTTTATAAGTTTCGTCAAGCGAAACAACTCTCAGGAGAAAACATATCCGCGTACTATACGAGATTGAAACAATTGGCCAAATCCTGCGAATTTTTTATGAAGAAAGCAGAGAGATAAAAACTCAGATCATACAAAATGGTTCATCTTCATAGCAGACCCGAAATAACGATGGAGAAATTAATAAAAATGAATAAAACAATGGAGATGTCAAAAACACAAGCAGAAGGCATCGAAAGCACGAATCGAATTTGGCATAAAAGAAAGCAGTTCAAGACGCCCACGGAAAAAACCTCAAATGCTTCCGAATATTCATCGAAGATCAAATGCAAATTTTTCCCGTGAACATCGTCCAGGGAAAAAAAATTGCCCGGCATATGGAAAGAAATGTCGACAGTGTTTAAAGTGGAACCATTTTCAAGTTTGTTGCTATGAGAATCGAAGAGGCAAAGACCTGATGCAAGACAATTATCAAAGTTCTCGCGCTGAATCAACAAAGCGAAACGGACGGATAAAACGTAATTAAGTAAGACCTCGACAAGTGAATACGGTGCAAGAAATAACGTCCGAATCAAGTATGGATGATAAATATGTATTTTCAACGTTGACGACGCAACAAAAGCTGCCGAAATTTAAAGTTAAGATAAATGGTACTCCTGTGTCAGTCATGGCAGATACCGGTTCCAGCGTAAATCTCTTGGATGAAGTGAATTTTAACAAATTGAAGAAAAAGCCAATATTGCAGGAAGCAAATGAGAAAATCTTTCCTTATGGGTCGAAAAAACAACTATCAATTAAAGGAAAATGTCAGTGTGTGGTCGAAACCGATAAACTATATGGGTTGGAGACATTTTTTGTTGTTAATGGGAATACGGGTTGCTTAATTAGCTGTAAAAGTTCTCAAAAATTGGGCCTGGTACAAATACTTGCATCCATAGAAGGCACTACAAAGTCTAAACAGGAACCCGTTAAAGAAAAGGCACAAGAAAATGTGAGAGAAGATACCAAAGTGGAAGAGCTAATTAACAAATATCAAGAAGTCTTTCAAGGACTGGGAAAATTGAAAGGGTTTCAAGTTCATCTACACGTAGATAAGGACATACAACCTGTCGCACAACCTCATCGTCGGGTGCCGTTTCATGTGAGAAAAGACTTGGAGAAACAGTTAAAACGAGACGAAGAACGCGGAGTCATAGAGAAAACGGATGGACCAACACCTTGGGTTTCACCAGTCGTGGTCGTACCAAAACAAAAAGGGGAGGTCCGAGTTTTTATAGATATGCGACAAGTAAACAAAGCAATAAAGAGAGAATGACACTTGACTCCGACGATTGGTGAAATTATAAGTGATCTAAATGGTGCTGTATGGTTTAGCAAATTGGACTTAAATCAAGGCTATAACCAGTTAGAGCTCGATGCAGAATCAAGATATTTGACAACCTTCTCAACACACATTGGTCTACGGAGATTTCGACGTTTGAATTTTGGAATAAACTGTGCTGCAGAGATATTCCAAAATGCCATCAGAGAAACGTTGAATGGACTGAGAGGTGTGATTAATATCAGTAATGACATTATGGTTTTTGGCGTAGACGAGAAAGATCACGAAGCAAATTTGAACGCGGTATTACAACGAATTAAAGATCGAGGACTAACTCTTAAGAAGGAGAAATGTCTGTTTAAGAAAAGAAGTTTAATATTCCAAGGGTATGTTTTCTCAGAGAACGGTATTGTGCCGGATCCCAATAAAGTGAGAGCAATTAAGGAATGCACAAATCCTAAAGATGTGGGAGAAGTACGAAGTTTGTTAGGCATGACCAATTTTTGCTGTCGATTTATTCCACATTATGCCACAATTACGGAGCCGTTACGTCGACTTATCAACAAAGATGCCGCATTCGTGTGGACAAAGAGAACAAGAAGACACAATGAAAGCCCTACGGAAAGCATTAACAGATGGGCCAGAAAGTTCATATTTCGATCCGGATAGTGATACGGAGGTTTTCACAGATGCTAGTCCAGTTGGTATTGCAGCACTCTTGGCGCAGAGGAAAAAGGGAGAAGAAAAAAGGAAAATAATTGCTTACGCTAGTAAATCACTAACTACCACAGAGAAAAATTATTCTCACTTGGAAAGAGAAGCTTTAGCTATAGTATGGGCCTGCGAACACTTTCATTTAGATTTGTTTTGAGGAAAGTTCACCATCGTCACTGATCACAAGCCACTGGTAAAAATATACACAAATCCATCATCAAAGCCATCTGCGAGACTAGAACGATGGGCTTTGCGATTGCAACCATATGATTTTGAAATATGTTTTCAACCTGGAACTGAAAATCCTGCAGATTTTCTCTCACGTCATCCCTTATCTGACGAGAAACTAAACAACCGGCAAGAGAAAGTAGCAGAAGAATTTGTTAATTACGTTACACAGAACTCGGTTCCAAGAACAATAAGCAGGAAAGATCTGGAAGAAGCTACAAGAGAAGACATTACTCTTCGAGCAGTTATTCAAGCCATTGAAACAGGTAGATGGTTTGACAGTTCAAAGATGGTAGGAGTAAATTAAACAGAATTTAGTTCATATGAGAAAATTAAAGATGAACTTTGCATATCTTCGGGTATAATTCTACGAAAACATCAAATAATCATACCAGAAAGTTTACGAAAGAAAGTAGTGAGCATTGCTCATGAAGGTCATATGGGAATGTTAAAAACGAAACATCTGTACTATTTATAAGTCAATTTCGCAAAAGTACATTTAAACCTAACTAAAGCCGACTAATAACAGTGTCACATATAGGAGGCTAACTCCAAAGTACCGACTTAACACACATCATTAGATGACCAAGATGCTTGCTGGGCGTCTAAAGCAAATGAACTCATATAAATTTCCCTTTAGTAAGGAGCAATCTAAACGATATTTAAGTAAAGTGCACGCCGTCAGTCTTGAATATTTCCCTCTAACATTTATATTAAACTATAAACAATATGTCTATGGGTCTATCTCCTTCAGAATTATTTTTCTTGCTAGTATTCATAAATAATGCCAATACAAGAATGTCATGTACATACGTATATGTGACTGAGTTAAATGACGATATTCATGATCCGCTTACACGCTATGAAGGTGATTAAATGAATTGAACGTTCATTCACGCAAACTAGCAGAAAACTGGGAATGTTTACCAATGGAAGCAACATTTACAACATCTATCCTTATCAAAGCATATAGCATATTTAATACTCACCACAAACCGCAGGTAGTCTTATTATTTAATTAGATGATATTTGTGCCGAAAAATGATAATAAAATTGCAAGCACAGCATTTTACTTTGCTAAACAAAAGAGATTAACATATTTACATATGTGCAGAATAATAAAGAAGTAGGCACTCAAAATGTGAGTAAGGATTAGTTTTTTTAACAATTTCCCACAGATAGATATACTTTAATCTTTAAGGGAAAAGATCCTTATTTAATATTTTTCGCTTTAGTGAAGCTTTTATGTGAAATAGCAAAATCGAAATAGATGAATCGAGAAGCCACTTTTGTAATTAGTTAAATTTCGAGGTCTCGTGTTTCTTTAAAGTGGTTATATCACGAATTTTAGCCCCCTTTTTTATTAGCTAAATTGAAAGACCTTCTTTCAGTGATTTTAAATCTGCAATTATAATTGAATTGGATTGGTGAAAGTGATTTTACGGACGTTCAAAGTCACGATTTTCAGCATTTTTTTTGCGAACTTTTTGATCGGTATGCTAATGACTTGTGACGTAGAAAGTTGAACACATATATCAACATGGCGTATTCTACTAGTAATCTTAATAAGAAACGCGGAGGAAAACGCTGTGTTGCTGGCGGAAATAATCAAATTAGTTGCGCCAATGATTCAAAAACAGAAGGAATGTCGATGCATCTGTTTCCTAAAAAAGAAACAGAGCCGCAAAGACATAGAAAATGGGTTAATTTTGTGCGTAAACATAGACCGGGTTTTGAGGCTTCCTCTACCTCGTGTCTGTGTTCTGCGCATTTTGAAGATTCTTGTTTTGACCTTAATTTGAGCGTGCAAGTCAAGCTCAAAAGAAGGTTGAAGAAAGATGCTATCCCAACCATTGACGTGGCTGGGATTCCTGAATCATTACAGGACGAAATAACCGATCGAAAGCGAAGACAAGTAAGTTTACGCTTGTTTATGTAAATTTTTCTTTTATCATATGTAAATTCGATATACGTTTTGTAGATTATTCGACATACTCTCCATAAGCCATCGCTTAAGGAAACATGTTCTCTCGATGAGGAAGTACCATCTACTAGTGATGGAGCTGAGCATGTTGAAGTATGCACTGGGTAAGCAATCGATTCGCCATTTGAAGAAGAACTACATGCAGTTGGTGAAGATATTTGTGAATCCCAGTCTCCATGTGAATCGTGCCATCGTCTTAAGAAAAACTTACATCTTTACAAAAGACTTTAAGCTGGTATAAAAATGTACTAAATGCAAAGCTCCAATGAAAGGACATCCTCGAGGTCAATGCTCCACTGAAAAAGAATAAATTGAAGTTGGTAGATGATAGGGCAGTGGTCAGACATTGCTTAGAGCCTGTCTAGAATGGAGAAGTAAGGCACCTCCTTCCCACCACCAGCCTGAGGGTTCACCTTAGGCAAGTTATAGTACCCTCTAGCCTCCCTATCTGGGCACCGATATACACACCTTTCCTGATGATTACAGTATTAATATAACATTGAATGGTATGTATACTTGTCAGATTGAAGATGACTATCTCACTCGATTGTGCAACTAATTAATTTTCATGAATAATTTTTTTATTGTAGTTTAATGCTCAACATGCCCTTTGCGGATGCAGTGCACTCAAGTGTGAAGACCTTATAAGATAAGTTCGTGTGACTTGCTATTTTCCATTTTTACATTTATGCTATCATTTAATTCCATATAATTTTTCTTTTGTCTTTTTTCCCAGACTGACATTGAAGAAAAGATTTTCTTTACCATATAGTGCATCCATGTATCTCCTATTTGGTTTTCATCTAGGCATATTTCCCGACCATTCTAAACTCAGCAAAGAAGGCCAACAGTCTCTACAGTGCACAAGTTGAAAGACATTTCCATGATCGCCCCTCTGATGGTATGTAACGTTTTGTGTTACCACTTGGATATGCTTTCCGAATAAGGTGGTAAACACAAAGTGGTAAAGGCCGAGTATTCTCCCATCCCATAGACCCACAAAACCATCGCATCAACCATCTGTATATCACAGCTCTCAAGTACCTGAAGTAAATAAAAAGGTTGGACTAATTATTGTTGATGAAACAATGTTGATGATAACATTGTTTCTCATACAATTTACAATCTTACATATTTAATGATTGTGATGCTTGGCGGCGATAAGCACGTCCATTCCTATCTCTCAATAGTGGCCCGACATTTTCAAGGACAGCCTCATGAACTAAAGGCCCAACTTTGGCATGCTGTGTTATGCATGATATTTTCTCAATGCTGCCATCGAATGTCATTTTCTGCAAATCTGGTTCAATTTCCTTACAGCATCTGTACTCTAATGCGCCTTCTAACAAATCGGTATGACAGCATTGACAATTACACCTGAAACGTGGGAGCATTGTGGTTTATAAAGTAGCTTTATGTATATTACAAACAGGAGAAAACAACAACTTACCATTCACCGAGTGGAATTACGCCATCACTTCGTTGTTCAAAGGTCGCAGGGATAATTCCATCGGGATCATCTGGAGTATGCACTTCATCACCATCTCCTGCGAGCGCTTCATCGTCATATGCGAAGTCGTTTAAATGCTCGACATAACCCACGGATTCCGAGCTCGAATCAGATACGCATTCAGACATCGAATTCGAATTATCTGAGCACTGATTTGAGGCCATACTTTCCGGACAACTTGTTTTTTAATATTTTATTGAAAATACTGTCATTATTTGTTTTTAAGACAAGAAAAACGACAACAAAATCACCTCCTATAATATAATATTATATTGACGGAAACAGACGTGTTCAACTATCTAAGTCACAAGTATCAATATGGCGTCGTAAAAAATTCGCAAATAGTACCCGATTTTGAAGGTAAAATTAAGCAACTTATATTTATCTGTTTAAGTCCAGCGACATGTCATAGTTCTTCAAATAATCCAAATTTTCAATTAAGCTCATAAAATAGGGGGGCTAAAATTCGTGATATAACCACTTTAAGTTAAAGTTTTTCCTTATTAAGAAAAGAGACAAGCGTCAGCTTACAATAGAACAAATGGTAAAATTCAGAAG